TTCATGTCGTCTCTCCAAAGCCTACAGTATATCAAATTGGGCTTCCTGTGTTTTCAAAATGACGACAAGTAAACATTGTATCCACTTGAACTCAAACAGTAAATACATTGATTTTTAAAGTAAAGTAATAACTCATGGTAATATTGTAAATCACAAAAATGATGAATAGGATAAGTCAATCGAATAGATTTCCTACAAATATTTAGGGACATTTCGTTATAAAATCGAGCATAAAGTGTTAAATTCGACGAAATTGACTAATAAGTTATTTCGAAATCATATCGATACTTAGACACTAATAAACAACCACTAACGATTGGTGACATGATTGAAGGATAAATACCGCTTTCTGATGACTTATAACAAGAGTTTGTTGGATGTTATCAATCTCAACGAGTACAAAAGTTTGTCTTACCTTTGTACCGAGTCCAGTCGTGWCGAAATCTTATTGCACTGAATACTGTTCCTCGTTCACATACGATGCAGAGTCGATACAAGATTCTTGCACGATAATGAATCAATCAAACATTATGCCTGAAGTGGTTTTTTGTCATTCGATTTTACAGCATTTTTCGTCCAAAGGACAAGGTTTGCCTCTCTCGGAATTCCCGGAAGAGTTCCGTCGTTTGTAATCCCGCTGTGCAGAAGTACCTGAWATCTGGCTCAACCCGGAAATGAATGTTTTGATCAATGTAGCTATGACAACAGGATTTCACTTTATACATAGGTTCGAAGAAACCATATACATATAATTTGATAAATAAATGTCTCAGTTTGGTAGCTAAAATATGATATATTGGGTATTCTAATTTATTAAAATAAATCTGACAAATGAATAAATAAATCAAAGAAATGAATGAATGGATAAAAGAATCAATGTTTAACATTTGAAAGATAAAATGAAAGAATGCAGTGAATGACAACTGAAATAGAGACATAGAAATAAAACACGCTATTGTACATTTAAAAGTAACTACGGACATATTTCACATTTTAGGTGTTGCATTTGAATATATTGTTTACTTAACAGCTATTGATTGTTTCATTCGGATCATGAGTAATTCATAATAACAAACAATCCTCTAATTTTAAAATATCTTCTCATTTATAAGTATCATTTACTTGATGTAAAATGCCTTTCCATCCATCACATCTCTTTAGAGTCGGTATCCCTGTGTTGTTCATTGCGTACATAAAATTCTGTTGTACGCACAAGGGGATAAAATTCCACTTTTTCGAACGAAGTCGTTTGTCGACCTTTGTCGTAAATTCAAATAAAATTAGGAAAGAGGAAAGTACTATTAAGTTCAAAAAACATTTTGTCGCACTTCACACAACTTGCCAAGCTCCCGTATTTCGCCGTAAAAACAGAAAGTGCAAAATCCTATATTCATTCAAAATAACAAAAGAAAACGACGCAGTTAGTAAATTTGTAGAGCAGAACGGCAGCAAGACAGCGCAGTTTTTGGGACGCCCATCTACATGGAGAAAGCGGTCTTTAACCTCTGCGCCAACACTAACAATTTGCTCTGCTATTGCAGAGTACTGGACGCCAATTTAACCGCCATGGTCAAAGCCGACGACCAGGTAGTCATGACTGCTGGCTTTGTTGTGCAGGTTTGAAAGGAGAGAGGGTAGATCGTCACTTGTCACTTGTCCCGTAGGAAATGACAAAGATGTGTTTAGGTCGCTGGCCTTCTAATTAAACAGCTCGCTTGGAATCCATACCAGCATGAGAGCACAGCGCTTGCGCTAGTCAGAAAACTACATGAGTGTTGTCAATGCGAATGGACGCTAAAGAACACGACGGAGAGCAGTGACCTGTAGGGTAAAGGCACGTCCAAAACGGAGCTTAGCACCGTAGGTGCCTTTTACAATGACAGCGCTCACATATTAATTTAGGAAAAGTGAATGCCATTACTGACCATTACTTCTATAAAGCTGTTTCCACAAGTCTGAGGGAGTCTGTATTCTAGGTATATTTTCAAAACAAGTGAGAGAACGCATATCGTAAAAAATACAGCAGAAACGTCGAGACTTTTTCCTTTTTTTTCTGGCTGTAATTTTTCTTCATAATGACATTTCTGAGAAATGGAAAGATTATCTATTTGCCTATCCCTAATTAAAAGAATTATAAAATGTCTCTGTGTGACTTTTTTTCTTTAACACGGAACTACATCTACCAGAATGCTCTGCGTACTTTTATTTCTGTACATCTTTGCTCTTTTGTCCATTGCGATCATCAAGGACAATTTACATCTCTCACAGTCAAATGAAAATCACTGTAGAGTGCTTTTTGTCCAGAATTAATTACGAAGGTCCACTACACTTAAAGACAGACCTAACCCAGTGAAGCCATAAAAACATCGGTGAATATGACAATAATAAACACAGTTCACCATACTGACGATTAGGGTCGTTACACTTAACCCGTGAAACAATTACCAGACTACTGGAGGCTTTGACCATGCAATGAAAATGACCAAATAAGAGATTTCACACTAATACACCTCAGAACGCTCTAATTGCATTGTTTTCTTTTGTAACTATTTGCTGACTATCACGCTTTTTACTGAAATTTCGTTTCACGGGTTTAATGCCTTCACTCTATTAGTGATTGTGCCACAGTTCGATGAAAACCACTTTGTTATTACTATTTGTTTGGAAGATTAGTGACAATGCACTTAACCCGTGAACCACTATCTAAAAGTCACTAGTGGCGTAACGTACTGAACTAGAGTGATGTAACAAATCTTTCATTTTTGTTATCAATTTCATTGAGATGTCTATAAAACATAAACATGTTCGAGATATAACCGAATTCAAACACTAAAAGCGTGAAAACGTACTAACCAAACATTGCTAAACTGTGTTGATTAGAAAAATAAAACAAAGTAATGGGAATAATCCAGGAGTTTGTGGCACTATTTTATCATTAGAATGAAGTTATTAATTCCGTGAGACGAAACTTGACTATAAAAGTGTGATAGAGTCAAGTCAAAACACCAGTGCGAAATAGGTATACAATAATACAACTTAGTACGCTCTCATTGAATTTGCTTTGTGTTTATTTGACTACCACACTATAATAGTCGAGTATTAATTTTATGGGTTTAATGACTTCTTTCATATTAGACACTAAAGAAAACAATGCAATTAGAGAGTGTACTAAAACGTGTATTAGTACTTCGCCTATTTTACCGTTTCTTACATCACT